CAGAACCTATCTTTGGAGGCTTCTTCTTTGGAAGCTTTTAAACAGAGGCTGGATGGCCATCTGTCAGGGGTGATTTGAATGCAAGAACAGACCTACAGAACCTATCTTTGGAGGCTCCTTCTTTGGAAGCTTTTAAACAGAGGCTGGATGGCCATCTGTCAGGGGTGATTTGAATGCAAGAACAGACCTACAGAACCTATCTTTGGAGGCTCTTCTTTGGAAGCTTTTAAACAGAGGCTGGATGGCCATCTGTCAGGGGTGATTTGAATGCAAGAACAGACCTACAGAACCTATCTTTGGAGGCTTCTTCTTTGGAAGCTTTTAAACAGAGGCTGGATGGCCATCTGTCAGGGGTGATTTGAATGCAAGAACAGACCTACAGAACCTATCTTTGGAGGCTCCTTCTTTGGAAGCTTTTAAGCAGAGGCTGGATGGCCATCTGTCGGGGGTGCTTTGAATGCAATATTCCTGCTTCTTGGCAGGGGGTTGGACTGGATGGCCCATGAGGTCTCTTCCAACTCTTTGATTCTACGATTCTATGAACTTGTTCGTAACTTGGGAAATGTCTGTGTTGTCTTAGAATTAAAGAAAGACAACACTCCCTCCCGCCAATATGAATAGCGCTAAAAGGGTAGATAGAGGGTCTATCTCTTTATCAATCTATATCTCTATCTCTATATAAAAAACTAGCGGTCCCCTGCCACGCGTTGCTGTGGCCCAGTCTGGTGATCTGGAAAATGAAAGTAATGAGAAAGTGTTGGTTTCTAATATATGTAATGTCTTGATGCTTGTGGGTAAACAGTATTTCTTGCTGTTTCTTTGCCAGTGTTGATGTGGAGATTGTCTGGTTTGCCTCCTCTGGAACACGCAACATATCATTGTCCTTCTTCAGGGGTCCCTTTCAAATCTTTGATACTGCATCTGCCATATACATATATGTGTGTGTGAATGGCTGGATGGCCCTTTGTCAGGAGGGCTTTGATTATGTTTTCTTGCCCTGGTGAAGGGAGTTGGAGTTTATGGTCTTAACCTGGGAAGTCAAGACCCCAGGTTGGGGGGGGGGGTCACCAGGGGAGTGTCAGAAGGGTCAGAAAGACCACCAGAAAACAGTATTTTCTATGTGGGATGCTTGGCCCAATTCCATTGTTGGTGGGGCCCGGAATGCTCTTTGATTGTAGGTGAACTATAAATCCCAGTAACTACAACTCCCAAATGTCAAGGTCTATTTCCCCTCAAACTCCATCTGTGTTTATATTGGGGTATATTGAGTATTGGTGCCAAGTTTGGTCCAGATCCATCACTGTTTGAGTCACAGTGCTCTCTAGATGTAGGTGAACTACAACTCCAAAACCCAAGGTCAATGCCCACCAAACCCTACGGTATTTTCTGTTGGTCATGGGAGTTCTGTGTACCAAGTTTGGTTCAATTCCATCCTTGAATGGAGTTCAGAATGCTCTTTGATTTTAGGTGAACTATAAATCCCAGCAACTACAACACCCAAATGACAAAATCACAATTTTTGAGTGATGGTCACTCCTTGTGTTGTGAGACGTTTTGTTGCCAAATTTGGTGCGATTTCGTTCATTGGTTCTTTTGTTTTTAGGGTAATCATTACACACAGAGCATTTACATATATATAGATGTTGTGATTTATATACTGTGTGTATATCTATATCCCTTTAGAGAGAGAGAGAGTATAGAGAGAGGGGTTATGTGTATGTGTGTACATAGGGCTGATACTAGGAGGGTCAAAAAGTTTTGCCTCTTGTGTCATAAAATGTTATGAATGAACACATAACAGCAGAAATTGCTACTGATCATAGCCTGAACTGTCCTCCGCACAAAACTACCTTTCAACGCAGTCACCATCAATTTGTACACATTTGCACCATTGTTTAACCCAGGCATCAGAACCATTTTGGAAAAATTCAGGGTTTTTCTGCATGGCCCGTGATTTTAAAGCTGTTTTCACATCATTCAAGTCATTGAATCTGAAACCACCTCGGTCGTCTTTCAGAGGTCCAAACAGGTAAAAGTCAGAAGGGTCCGAATCATATAAACATTCTTCATGTGAGGATGGATTTCCTTAGGTACACAACTTTCTTTTGCAAGAAATTCAATGACGACTCTTTCTTTGAGCTTCAGATTCATGGTTCTAATCAGTCAATCGGATACAGAAAAGACTGTATCACTAGAGTAAGGTGACCTCTATCAGATCATGCATAGACAGTCCAGGAGCTGTGAAAGAAATAAAAGTTAGAGCAATGGAGGCATTACTTTTTGATTCACTCTCATGTAGGGGTGTGTGTGTGTGTGTGTGTGTCTTAGCTGTACCCAACCACACATTGCTGTGGCCCAGTCTGGTTAAATGGAAAAGAAAGAAAAGAGAAAGAGCTGGTTTCTAATATATGTGATTTCGCAACGCTTGTGGATATACAATATTGTTGTTGTTCCATACTTTTACCTGTCACAAGTGTGACATCTGTATAATAGTAGATGTGTGAAAACATAAAAATGTGCGTCAGTTTGAATGCTACGTTGTGTTAATATTTCAAAGCAGTTGGTGAAGTATTTTGGGAAATTTAAGGTTCTGAGTAAGCAAACATTTATATTTTTATTTATAGATATTAGTCAATATCAGTGTTTCTCAACCTGCGGGTCGGGACCCCTGAGGGGGTCGCGAGGGGGTGTCAGAGGGGTCACCAAAGACCATCAGAAAACACAGTATTTTCTGATGGTCATGGGGATTCCATGTGGGAAGTTTGAGCCAATTCTATTGTTGGTGGAGTTCAGAATGTTCTTTGATTGTAATGAACTATAAATCCCAGCAACTACAACTCCAAAATGTCAAGATCTATTTTCCCCAGACTCCACCAGTGTTCACATTTGGGCATATTGAGTATTCGTGCCAAGTTTGGTCCAGATCCACCATTGCATGAGTCCACAGTGCTCTCTGGATATAGGTGAACTACAACTCCCAAACTCAAGGTCAATGCCCACCAAACCCTACGGTATTTTCCATTGGTCATGGGAGCCAAGTTTGGTTCAAATCCATCGCTGGTGGAGTTCGGAATGCTCTTTGATTATAAGTGAACTATAAATCTTAGCAAGTACAACTCCCAAATTACAAAATCAATCCTCGCCCAACCCCACTAGCATTCACATTTGGGTGTATTGGGTATTTGTGCCCAGTTTGGTCCAGTGAATGAAAATGCATCCTGCATATCAGATATTTACATTATGATTTATAACAGTAGTAAAATGACTGTTAGGAAGTAGCAATGAAAACAATATTATGGTTGGGGGTCACCACAACATGGGGGACTGTATTAAGGGGTCACGGCCTTAGGAAGGTTGAGAACTACTGGTCTATATAATAATAATAATAATAATAATAATAATAATAATAATAATAATAATAATAATAATAATCATGGTGTAAATAATAATCATGGTCTATATAATAATCTATATGATACTGATGTATATAATAATGATAACAATCATAGAATCATAGAGTTGGAAGAGACCTCATGGGCCATCCAGTCCAACCCCATTCTGCCAAGAAGCAGGAATATTGCATTCAAAGCACCCCTGACAGATGGCCATCCAGCCTCTGTTTAAAAGCTGGTCTATATACTGGTCTATATAATAATGATCAGTGTGTTTTGTGGAAACCCTTTCCTTTCCTTCCCTCCTATCTATCTCTTCCTCCCTTCCTACCATTCAATCCTTCCTTCCTTCTGGGCCTGTCTCCTTGCCTGCCTCCTTCCCTCCCTCCCCTGGGCTAGCGCCCTGCCCTTCTCCCCAGCCTGGATTTGCTTGGCTGTCCAGCAGATTGCGCTGTTTTTGATGCAAAGTATATGTGTCACATCTATATAATAGAAGGTATGTAAAAACATAAACACATTTGCCTGTTCGAATGCTACATTGTGTCCAAATTTCGAAGCAATTGGTGAAGTATTTTGGGAGATTTGAGGTCATAGAATCATAGAATCAAAGAGTTGGAAGAGACCTCATGGGCCATCCAGTCCAACCCCATTCTGCCAAGAAGCAGGAATATTGCATTCAAATCACCCCTGACAGATGGCCATCCAGCCTCTGTTTAAAAGCTTCCAAAGAAGGAGCCTACACCACACTCCGGGGCAGAGAGTTCCACTGCTGAACGGTCATTCACAAATGGGCATTTACACACACACACACACACACACACACACATATATAGGTAAAGGTAAAGCTTTTCCCCTGACATAAAGTCCAGTCATGTCCGACTCTGGGGTGTGGTTCTCATCTCCATTTCTAAGCCGAAGAGCTGGAGTTCTCCATAGACACCTCCAAGGCCATGTGGCCGGCATGACTGCATGGAGCACCATTACCTTTCTGCTGGAGCAGTTCCTATTGATCTACTCACATTTGCATGTTTTCAAACTGCTAGGTTGGCAGAAGCTGGGGCTAACAGCAGAAGCTCACGCTTCTCTCCGGATTTGAACCTGTGACCTTTCGGTCAACAAGCTCAACAGTTCAGAATTTTAACCCACTGCGCCACCGGGGGCTCCTACATATATATGTGTGTGTGTATTTCATTTGTGTATTTTACAACTGATTGTGCCTTAAGAGTTGAAAAAAATACAGGCTGGGCTGTACAGTTAATGAATAAGTTGTGTTCCTGTGCGTTACAAAATAATGGAAGCTTTTAAACAGAGGCTGGGTGGCCATCTATCATGAGTGCTTTGAATGCAATATTCCTGCTTCTTGGCAGGGGGTTGGACTGGATGGCCCATGAGGTCTCTTCCAACTCTATGATTCTATAATGATACCAGATAGAGTAATAACACTGAAAGGACAGAGATTGCTTTCTGCGCCATAACAAAGAGGAGCAGTTCAGTGCACAGTATAGTAGCCACCTTTGTATTCCAAACTAACTGTATGGTTTTGAATGAAATTATCAAACGTAGGTGAACTTTGCTTAATTAAACAACAAAACCCTTTGAACTTTCCAGCCCATTCGTCATGGCAAACAGAGGACCTGCGTACGGACTCAGCCGGGAGGTTCAACAGAAGATCGACAAACAGTACGACCCGGATTTGGAGCTGATCCTCATCCAGTGGATTGGGGCCCAGTGTGGCCCCGATGTCGGACAGCCTCAGCCTGGAAAGGACAACTTCCAGAAGTGGTTGAAAGACGGCACCGTAAGGCACTCATTGCTAATTTAATCACAAACAAATTCTGCATCTCATACCAAAATATTTACAAAAAATCTATTCATTGCAAGCAAAACTAAGAAGACAATTGAGGGATAAGAAAGCATTAGGCAGGTGTCACCTTTCAGCCTCCTTCCTGCCTTACTCGGTATTGTTGTCACCTTTTTGCAGGTGCTGTGCAGGCTCATCAATAGCCTTTATCCCCCTGGCAAAGGCCCAGTGGCCAAGATCCAAGGCTCCACCATGGCCTTCAAGCAAATGGAGCAGATCTCACAGTTCCTGCGTGCGGCTGAGCAATACGGCATCCTGGCCACAGACATATTCCAGACGGTGGACCTCTGGGAAGGTATGAGAGTTTGAGAAGATGGCCTATTGGCGTTATAGTTGTCAATATGGCTCAGGTGATGGGAGATGCAGTCCAGCACATTTGGAATCACTCCAGGTTGGGAAAGGATGAGTGCTTTCCAGTCTATTAGATGTGATGGACCATCCAATGACTTAGGATCAACCAGTGTTTTTAATGCAAAGTGAATGAAGGCATACTTTTCTATTGTTGGTGGGGTTCAGAATGCTCTTTGATTGTACGATATATTGTAGGATATATTGTAGGACATAGGACGTTCAGAATGCTCTTTGATTGTAGGATATACTCCTCCCCACAACACCAACTATTGCTCTGGGCCAGAGTGAAGAGAGGGGAGGCCAGGGGACAGTTCCACCTTGTCTCCTGTGCTATTCTATTTATAATATTATAATTTAATGCAATATAATAATAATATGATTTTATATATATAATTATATATTTATATTACATGTAATATTACTAATAATATTGCAATATAGTGGTATGGTGCAATATAGCAATGTTTAATGCTGATATTGTACTATGCTAATGATATAATATATTGTATATAATATATACCTTGTAAGCCGCTCTGAGTCCACTTTGGGGTGAGAAGGGTGGCATATAAATGTCATAAATAAATAGGTGAACTATAAATCCCAGCAACTACAACTCCCAAATGTCAAGGTCTATTTTCCCCAAACTATGCCAGTGTTCACATTTGGGTATATTGAGTATTCATGCCAGGTTTGGGTCCACAGTCTACTGTTTGAAGCAATGTCAATTCCAGACAATTTCACCCTATGTCTGGAAGCTCTGTCAAACTGGCTACGTGTAGCAGACTGAAGGTGAACCCAGCGAAGACTGAGATTCTCTGGCATGGCCGCCCGGCAGGTCTGACTCCTCCTTCGATGGTGGCGCCCTATCTCCATCGACTACTGTTAAGAGCTTAGGTGTCATCCTGGATTCGCAGCTGACAATGGAAGCTCAGGTCGCTGCTGCCAGCAAACAGGCCTTTTCCATCTACGACAAGCGAGGCAATTGGCACCCATGCCACGGTCATCCATGCCACGGTCACGTCTAGGCTGGACTATTGCAACGCCCTGTATGTGGGCCTTCCGATGTCTACGACCCGAAAGCTTCGTATTGTTCAGAATGCGGCAGCCAGGTTACTCACAAGAATGCCCATGAAATGCCATATAACACCAGTGCTGCAACATTTACATTGGCTTCTAACTGAGTACCGTGGCCTGTATAAGGTGTTCGTTCTGACCTTTAAAATTCTTTACGGCCAGGGTCCATCGTACCTTAGGGACCGCCTCTCCTTCTCCCATCATCGGAGGTCGCAACGACCAGCCCAACGTGACTTACTCCATATACCGGGTCCTAGAGAAGTGCACTTGGAAAGGACCAGGCGCAGAGCTTTTTCTATTTCTGCCCCTGCCTTGTGGAATTCCTTGCCGCCCTACATGAGAGCCATGCGTGACTTAGGGCCTTTTACTCTCGCACTTACGACCTGGCTTTTTACTAGAGCATTCGATCTCTGTTGATTTTTAAATTCTGTATGTATGTATTTTATCTTTTACAATTTAGCTGTAAATCGCCTGGAGCATTCTCGGATGGAGGGCGATTAATAAGTAATTAGATGATGATGATGATGATGATGATGATGAGTTCACAGTACTCTCTGGATGTAGGTGAACTACAACTCCCAAACTCAAGATCAGTGCCCACCAAACTCTTCCAGTATTTTTTGTTGGTCATGGGAGTTCTGTGTGTCAATTCTATCATTGGTGGAGTTCAGAATGCTCTTTGACTGTAGGTGAATTATAAATCCCAGCAACTACAACTACAAAATGACAAAATCAACCCCCTCCCCCAACTTCACCAGTATTCAAATTTGGGCGTATGGGGCATTTGTGCCAAATTTGGTCCAGTGCATGAAAATGTATCCTGCATATCAGATATTTACAGTACAATTCATAACAGTAGAAAGGTTACAGTTGTGAAGTAGCAATGAAAATGATGTTATGGTTGGGGGTCCCCACAACATGTGGAACTGTGTTAAGGAGTCACGGCATTAGGAAGGTTGAGAAACACTGCTGTACTGTTATCATGTCACTGTAAAGTCCCTGTGCTTCAAAACATCTTCTGTGCCCACAGGTAAAAACATGGCCTGTGTGCAGAGGACTTTGATGAACCTGGGAGGATTGGCAGTCGCAAAAGGAGATGAGTTCTTCGCCGGAGATCCCAACTGGTTCCCAAAGTAAGTGTACATGCATGTTCTGTATGAGTGCACATATACACATGAACAAGATTATGCCTGACTCAAAGGTACCTTGGTTTCTTTTTTGTATATACATACGGGATTGTTGGCTTTTTTGTGTAAAATCACATATGAGACAGTCGAAAGTCCTTATTCACTTGGGTAAGCTATGTAACTTTTCGAAGCCCCAAAATGGTAGTGGAACTCAGAAGTCCTTCCCCCACTTCCCATTCACCCACATGAAATGGATCTAGGAGTGTATTGTTGAAGGCTTTCATGGCCGGAATCACTGGGTTGTTGTAGGTTTTCCAGGCTGTGTGGCCATGTTCTAGAAGCATTCTCTCCTGGCGTTTTGCCTACATCTATGGCAGGCATCCTCAGACCTCACAACCTCTGAGGATGCCTACCATAGATACAGGCAAAGCCTCAGGAGAGAATGCTTCTAGAACATGGCCACACAGCCTGGAAAACCTACAACAACCCGGATCTAGGAGTCTTAGTAGGCCACAAGCTGAACATGAGCCAAGAGCGTGATGCAGTGTTGCAACTCTGGGTAGTTTTCACCTTGCTCAAGACACCATCGCACACCAAAGCTGTAGGTTTTGTAGTTTATTGAGAAAAAACAAAATCAAAACAGAGAAATAAAGATGCAAAAGTTCAATACAGAGTCTTAAATGCAAAGGCAAGTTTCCCAAGATCCACAGGCAAATAACATGAAGCATAATCCCTTAGCAATGGTCAAACAAGAGTCCATGTTTGATCAGGATCAGAATCAAGTCTCAAAGAAGCCAGAAGTGTTCCGCAAAAGCCAAGGTAATTCCACGGAAGTTAACGGGTAAGAAGCAACATTGGACTGACAAGAAATGCCTGTCAGCTTCATCATTAAATAAGTTTCCCTGACATGAAAGCATTGCGTTGACCTTTGGCTTCCCACTTGCTGGCCAGGCGTGTGCTTCTGCAAACCCTTAATTGCAAACGATCCTGTCTGCTCATTAATTCACCATTAACTTCAAGGCTATACAACTCCTTATCTTGGCCCAGCTGGGCCAGATCACGCTGGGAACTGAAAGGAGTCTCCAGCTGCACTTGTGGGATTTCACTATCTCTATCTAAAGGCACATACCTTTCCCTGGGGAACAGGCTTGCTGTTTCTTCTTAGGAAGCCACACTATCAGCTCCGTCTGGAACAGGAATCCATAACCCATCAGCCTCCTCGTTATCCTGCAGAAAGTCAGGCTCAGAAGGCCCAGCAGGCCCAAACAGTTCCGTTTCAGACTCAGACTGAGCCACAACATGCAGCAGCTAAAAAAACCAATATGATTCTAGGCCAGAGTCCGAATGGAGGGAAGTCAGAGTTCCACTCTATTCTTCCCTATTCAGACCTAATTTGGGATAATATTGTGTCCATTTGCGGGCACCACAAATCAAAAAGGAGATGGACAAGGTGTCCAGAGAAGGGTAGTCAAAAAGTTTGGAAACCAAGCCCAATGAGGAGCAGCTTAGTAAGCCTGGAGAAAAGAAGGCTGTGATAGGACATGATAGTCATTGAAATACTCCAGTGATAGTGGGCAGCTATTTATTGTATACTAGCTTGGTATTTAAAACACCATTTTAAATTGGTGTTTGGGTTCACAGTGCTCTCTGGATGTTGGTGAACTACAACACCAAATCAAGGTGAATTTCCACAAAGACCTCCAGTATTTTTTGCTGGTCATGGGGACTCTGTGTGCCAAGAATTGAGGTTATGCTCGATTCCAGCCACGGGGGATGCTGTCGCTTCATCCACTTTGACGCCGAGCTCTTTTGATCGTAGTATTTCCTCCTTGTTCTTTGATTGTTGGCATTTTCTTTATGGTGTCGTAAAATACCTCCCCGCTTTAAGCGGTGCCTAATTTCTCTACTCACAGCTCAGCTGTTTTTCAAACTGCTTAGGTGGACAGTAAGCTAGGCTTAATAGTCGGGTGCTCAATCTGACTTGGGCTTTGAACTTGCCACCTTCCAGTCGGCACTGATCTATTGCTGCTGGTGATAAACCAGCTGTGTGTTATGGCTCACTTTGAGCCTGAGTTTTCTGAGCCTGAGTTTCCTCAGGACGAAGAGGATGACGGGTTACAGATTTCTGAACATGTCCTTGTTATTGAGGCAGACTGTTGATCCTGAAGAAGAGACGGCATTTCTGTTTCCCAGCGAAAAGAATGTTGTTTTAGATTAAGATAGTGAAACTTCACAGCTGCAGGTGGAAGAGTCGGCTCCATCTGGGAGTTCAGTGCCTCTCGGTTCCCAGGGTGACCAGTCCCAGGATAATGAGTTATCAGCCTTGAAGATGGTGGAGATTTGATTAGGGAGGACCATTTGCAATTAAGGGTTTGCTGAACAAAACGGGAAGTTCGAGGTCAACGTAATGCTTTCATGCTAGGGAAACATATTTAACGATCTGATTGAAGTCTATCCTTTGTCAGTGCAATGTTGCTTACACCCTGTTAACTTCTCTGAAATCACCTCGGCTTTTGGAGAAAGCTTCTAGCTCTTTGGTTTTGATCTTGATTTTTGGGGACCTTGTCATGCTGCCATGGATTCTTGATTACCCAATGCTAAAGGATTATATTTCATGTTAATTGCTTTTGGATTTTGGAAACTTTGCCTTTGCATTTAAGACTCTGTTTTGGCTCTTTGAACTTTTGCAACTTTACTACTATGTTTATGATTTTGCTTTTTCCTCAATAAACTACAAAACCTACAGCCTTGGTGTGTGGTGGTGTCTTGAGCAAGGTGAATCTATTCTGAGTTGCGACACTGTGCTACAGGCCGGCCCTCTAGCCTATAGATTGCCATCTAGCATCTGATTAAAAGTCTCTAAAGAAGGAGCGTCCACTGGATGCCATGGCAGAGAGTTCCACTGTTGAACAGTTCTTTACGGCCAGGAAGTTTTTCCGAATGTTCAGGTGGAATCTCCTTCCCTGCAGTGTGAACCCATGGCACCATTGAATCCTAGTCTCCAGGACATCTTTCTCCGTCACTGGGATACGTCACTGGGATACTGCCCTCACTCCTTGTCCTTTTTTTCTTTCTCTCCAGGAAGTCCCAGGAGAACCGCCGTGCTTTCTCAGACGACAAGCTTAAGGAAGGGCAGAGTGTCATTGGGTTGCAGATGGGCACGAACCGGGGAGCCTCCCAGGCCGGCATGACGGGTTATGGCATGCCGCGGCAGATCCTTTGAGCCCCGTTTCCCCCCTTTTCAGTTGTTACCATTGCCACCCCAAAATCTGATTTCCAAATTATTGCAACCACCATAAGCCTTAGCGCAGGTTGCGGAGCCATGCAACCCCATGTTTACCAATTGCCAGTATGTTTTCCTTTGGCTCTTCTTTTTAAATCCCCATCCTCTTTTAGCCTGCATAATTGGAGCTAAATCTTGCTTGGTCTCTGGTTTCAGTAATTTGTTTTTAAACCCCTTCCCTTTACTATCGCATAGATTGGGCACAATTGGGTGTTGTATTGCTCAAATAATCCTCACTCAGGTTCGGCTTTGAGGGATCTTCAATACTGTCCACATTCCTGTATATGGCTTTTGAATGCTGATCTTGACCGGCAGCATTTTTGGAAACCAGATACATATCCACTCCTGGGCATTCCTTTCACAGTTTGACCAAAAAAGATATACATCTTGTAATATTTTATTATCGCATCTTGGTTTGCACAATTGCATCCATTCCTATGATGTTCCAACCCTCTCCACAGAGATATACCATTCGAAATGCACATTGAAACGCACTACCTTTTTATGAGTTTGGAGAAGCAATTCGCTGGCAGAATCTCTCCCAGAGAGCAAAAGGTGTTCCCTCTTTGGTGCTAGGTTTACATTTCCCCTCTTTCTTAAGATAGATAGGGATCTATCTTAAGAAAGGCAAGACTTTCCCGCACTTCTTTGGAGTGGTTGCCCAGTTGATGCTTGGCTTTGCTCTTCAGTCTCCCTCTCCGTAGCAAATTCTGTTAGGTCTTCACCCAGTAAAGGCCATGCGGTTCTGACCTCGGATTGCCGGAGCCATCTTGTCCAATTTCACTTTGTTTTGGAGGCGAAGGCCAAACCCTCGACCAATGCATAGCGTTCTTAACTGTGGGATGCACTCTTTGACTCAAGGGCATGACTAAGGAATAAACATTGCTCAATTCTTTGTTCGTAAACCTTGCCTCTTCTCGTCATTTCTGGAAAAAGGCTCAGTGTGTCTGTTAACACCATATTGTCCAAAGAGGAGCGATAGCTGAGTTGGTGTGAATTATTAAAAAATAGTCGTTTCTGGTGTGAGAGAATTGGCTGTCTGCAAGGATGTTGCCCAAGGGCTTCCTGGATGTTTTAATGTTTAACCATCCTTGTGGGAGGCTTCTCTCATATCCCTGCATGGGGAGCTGGAGCTGACAGAAGGAGCTCATTCACGCTCCTCTCAGATTCAAATCTGCGACCTGTTGGTCTTCAGTCCTGCCGGCACAAGGGTTTGACTCACTGTGCTACAAGGCAGTTCCTCAAGTCACTCCTGACACGAAAAAAATATATATGCAGGTGTGACTTCACGGCTGTGTCAATATGGCGAGGAGAGCTTTCCAAACCATGCGTCATGGCACATGAGTATGTTGGTGTGCTGTGTGAATGGAGTAAGAAACCTCTATGTCACTGTTTCTCAACCTTCCTAATGCTGTGAACCCTTTAAACGGAGGCTGGATGGCCATCTGTCAGGAGATATTTGATTGTGTTTTTCCTGCCTTGCAGAGTAAGTATGGATTGGATGGCCCCTTGGGGTCTCTTCCAAAACTCTGATTCAATGTCAGTGTTTCTCAACCTCAATTTTTTTTGTCGTGTCAGAAGCGACTTGAGAAATTGCAAGTCGCTTCTGGTGTGAGAGAATTGGCCGTCTGCAAGGACATTGCCCAGGGTACGCCCGGATGTTTTTGATGTTTTACCATCCTTGTGGGAGGCTTCTCTCATGTCCCCGCATGAGGTGCTGGAGCTGATAGAGGGAGCTCATCTGCCTCTCCCCGTTTCGAACCTGTGACCTGTCGGTCTTCAGTCCTGCCAGCACAGGGGTTTAACCCACTGTGCCACCGGGGACTCCTAACCTTCTTAATGTCGTGACCCTTTTAAGCAGAGGCTGGATGTCCATCTGTCAGGAGAGATTTGATTGTGTTTTTCCTGTCTTGCAGAATAAGGATGGACTGGATGGCCCCTTGGAGTCTTCCAATACTCTGATTCTATGACAGTGTTTCTCAACCTTCCTAATGCCGTGACCCCTTAATGCAGTTCCTCATGTTGTGGGGAACCCCAACCATAACATTATTTTCATTGCTACTTCATAACTGTAATTTTGCTACAATTTTGGGAGTTGTAGTTGCTGGGGTTTATAGTTAACCTACAATCAAAGAGCATTCTTAACCCCACCAATGATGGAATTGAACCAAACTTGGCACACAGAATTACCATGATCAACGGTTTTCTGGAAGGGTTCGGTGGGCATTGACCTTGAGTTTGGGAGATGTGGTTCACCTACATCCAGAGAGCACTGTGGACTCAAACAAGGATGGATCTGGACCAAACTTGGCACGAATACTCAATATGCCCAAATGTGAATACTGGTGGAAAATAAAGCTTGACAGTTGGGAGTTGTCATTGCAAAATTACAATTATGAAGTAGCAACAAAACCATGAGGAACTATATTATGGGGTTGAGGCATTGGGAAGGTTGAGAAACACTGCTGAAAGGGGCTAGAGAGCCATGTGGCATGGTAGTTGATTCCTAGTTGATACTATCATTTCACTTTTGCTTGCACTATCACCTCACTATTATTTGTACCTGGTGGCGCAATGAGTTAAACTCTTGTGTTGGCAGGACTGCTGACTGAAAGGTCTGCATTTCTAATCTGGAGAGCGGGGTGAGCTTCCTTCTGTCAGCCCCAGCTTCCCATGCAGGCACGTGAAAGAAGCCTCCCACAGGATGGTAAAACATCTGGGTGTCCCCTGGGCAACGTCCTTGCAAAGGGCCAATACTCTCCCACCAAAAGTGACTTGCAGTTTCTCAAGTCGCTCCTGACACGACAAAAAAAAATTGAGTAATCCTTGCACTATTACTTGTATTATTGGCAAAAACTTGGTACAAGAAACTTAGAGCTATGTGTATATTTCCATATCCTCTTGTGATTATATGTATTTGCTTAGTGTTATGAGTGTGTTGGCCAACCCAGGCCTTTGCAATGGCATCCAGACCTAGAGTTTTGTTTAAACTTGGGGCGTAGCTTCCCTTCCATTGTATCTGACCAGCTCAGAACCTACTCCTCAAGTCAACAGGGTTAAAGAGAGAGCAACACCCAGCACATTAATACACTGAGGAGAAAGTGCACAGGAGAATATTAGGTGCAAATACCCTTCAGGCTTTTTAGTTTGTTGAGCTTGTTCTAGGAAGTATACACCCCACACTTCTGGTGTTTAGGAGGCAAAGCCAGAGGGTGTTGTTTAAACCCAGTTCCTGGTTTTGTAGCACTGACTTATTCAATTGATGTCTGTGTCCACATCTCTTACGAAGGGTTAGTTTACCCTCTGGTTTGCTAGTGGAATCCTAGAGTTGGAAGAGACCTCATGGGCTATCCAGTCCAATTCCCTGCCAAGAAGCAGGAAAATTGCATTCAAATCACCCCCAACAGATGGCCATCCAGCCTCTGTTTAAAAGCTTCCAAAGAAGGAGCCTCCACCACACTCTGGGGCAGAGAGTTCCACTGCTGAACGGCTCTCACAGTCAGGAAGTTCTTCCTCATGTTCAGATGGAATGTCCTTTCTGCTATGGCTGACTTCTCTGGTTGGATTAGCCTGAAGAGCCTTTCATGTTTCTTGATTCATGTTTGGGCAATGCTGCGTTATTATTTGAGAACACAGAAATGCTGACCACTCTCACAACCACCATGTCAGACGACACAGAGAAGCCACTGGAATCCACAGGCATGTGGACAATCTCAATAGAAAGGAGGAAACCATGAAAATGAACCAAATCTAGCTACTAGTATTTTAAAAAACTCTAGAATCAGGACAGTAAATAAACAGCAACACTCAGTAAACAGGGGATTTATTTATTTACCATTTACCATATTCGAAGGCGATTCGAGGCAGTTTACAGTCGGCATTCCAGGCAGGAAAGTATCAGGGCCAGCTAACACCTCCCAACAAAGGATTCCCCCAGGCAGGAAGCAGCCAGGCTTTGAAGTTGCAAGGCTATTCAATGCTAATCAAGGTGGCCAATGGCAACATTCACCTTTGCCTCAAACAGACATTATTCCACAAATATATGAACCTCACTTGCCTAGTTTCCAACAAACCTCACAAACTCTGAGGATGCCTGCCATAGAGGTGGGTGAAACGTCAGGAGAGAGTGCTTCCGGAACATGGCCATACAGCCCGGAAAATGCATAGCAACCCAGTGATTCCACCACTCTCCAGGACAGAGAGTTCCACTGCTGAACAGCTCTCACAGTCAGGAAATAGTAAAATTGGATTATCATGTCGCAATATGATGCATGTCTAAAGAGCTGTGTCACTAAATGTTTGGAAAGCCCTATGGCAGCATTTCTCAACCTGGAGGTCAGGACCCCTGGGGGGGGTCACAAGGGGGTGTCAAAGGGGTCGCCAAACACCATCAGAAAACACAGTATTTTCTGTTGGTCACGGGGGTTCTGTGTGGGAAGTTTGGCCCAATTCTATCTTGGTGTGGTTCAGAATGCTCTTTGATTATAGGCGAACTATAAATCCTAGGAACTACAACTCCCACGTGTTAATAATAATAATAGTAATAAATAAATAATAAACTTTATTTATTTATTATTTATTTATTTACTACGCTTCTATACCGCCATTCTCAGCCCGAGGGAGACTCATGGTGGTTTACAAAATGGCACAATTCGATGCCCACAACAGTACAAAAATAATTTAAACATTAAAAACATTTAACACAGGTAAAAATTCATTACAATTAACATCAGTAACACAATAAAAACCATAAGTCCTCCGCATTTCATTACCAGTCATTATCCAGTCAAGTTGTCCAGCCGTTCTGAGATCAGAGTTTAATAGCTACACTGCGTTTGGGAAGGCCTGCTCATATAGCCAGGTTTTAACTTTTTTGCGAAACGGTAAGAGGGTGGGGGCTGATCTAATTTATACCCCGCCACCATCTCCCCAATGGGGACTCGGAGCGGCTTACATGAGGCCAAACCCAACAACAAATTACAACAGAGTAAAACCAAAAACGCAAACCAAAAATGCGAACAGTAAACAACAACATCATAATTACATAAAACATAACAATATAACAATATAAAATTACAATAAGCAGAATCACAGTGACAATGAGCAGGCTACATGTAATTATTAAAAAAACTGATTGAAAACTAATTAAAAACTTGGGCGAGATAAAAGAGAAGCAGGTTATTTGTGGAGGAGGGCTCATTAGAGCGGGGGTTGTGGAATCAAGCTTTCCCACGAGGGGGAACGGACGACATATACTCCAATGACAGAACATTGAGGCTAAGCAGTAGTGTGGGATTGTATACCTACTCACCAATGGCGTAGCGGAAGAGCCAGGTTTTAAGGTTCTTTTTAAAGGTTTCTAGGGTAGGGGCTTTCCTAATTTCTCCAGGTAATGAGTTCCATGAGTTAAGGTCTATTTTCCCCAAACTCAGTTGGTGTTCACATTTGGGCATATTGAGTATCTGTGCCTAGTTTGGTCCAGATCCATCATTGTTTGAGTCCACAGTGCTCTCTGGAGCTAGGTGAACTACAACTCCCAAACTCAAGGTCAGTGCCCACCAAAGGGTTGTGCACCAGAGCAGAAACACCTCTGACTTAAACACCACACAAGCTTGATAAAACCAGCAAGCAGTTGATTGAAGAATATATGTAGCCAAAACAGTAAAAATAGCAAAACCAGTAAAGTCCATAAGCTTCAAGGGAAAACAAGATCAATAAGTGCATTAAAATCCATGGAACTAGGCCCTTGGATCCATG